ATGCAGACGGTGGGAGGTGCGTGGGGTCAGCTAGCACAGTCCGCTCTAGCGGGTTTTTCTAAAATGTAGCATTTACGAGAATATGGCTTTGGGAACCTTGTGAGCACCTGGACCTCTACCGAGTTCACGCTACGGCAGAGTGGCTTCCCCAGAGAAATGAACTCGGGCGCCGGTGTCCGGGGAGGATGCAGGAAATAGGGACTTGCCGCTCCTTCCCACCTGCCTGTGGGCTGTGCTCCGCAGAGAGCAGAGGCGTGGCCTTCGGGCTCCCTGGGCTCATGAGAACTGGGAGGGTCGTGCGTGGACACCAGCGTGTCAGCCTAGCGGGAGCGGCACTGCGGGGACCCTCCCTGCTTGGACACGGGGCAGACCGCGTGTCGAGGGTTTCTGCTAAACTGTGACTTCAGTGCCAGACGGTACTAGTCCGTGTGCTGCCGTGTGCATCGGTCTGCGGAGCTCGGCGCAGCAGGAGAAGGGCTTCTAAAGGCCACATCAGCCGGAGCTGGACGTTCCGGAGCTGAGCGGAGGCCGTCCTCAGGGAGGCGCTGCGGAGCAGTGTGTCTGGTGCTGCTGCTGTGCCTGGCCCACGTGCGTCTTTCCTCAGAGACTTGGTTTTCAGCTCGGCTCCTCCCGCAGCCGCAGCCGCTGTGCCCTCGCTGTGGACAGTCCCAGCGCCAGGGGGAGAGCTTCCTCAGACCCTCGGGTGGCCTGGCCGGTGACCAGGCCTGAGTGTGGTGTGACCAGGCCTGGGTGTGGTGTGACCTAGACCTGGGTGGAAAGCAAAGTCTGTGACAAATGGGTGTGAAAATAGTGCTGAAATGACAAGGGCACGAGAAGGGAGCTGGGCAGGAAGGGAAGAGTCCCTCCGGGTGGCAGTGTGCCAGGAGGCCTGGAAGGGCGTTGCCTGTGGAAGAAGCGGGGCCCTGCCTGCACCTCCTCTCCCGCCTGCACTGCTGCGCCCTCCCGCGTGCTGACAGCCTCTGGGATCACTGTTGCCGTTGATTCGTGCTGATGCTCCACTTTTAATGATGTTTTCATTTATTCCCTTTGCTAGCCGGATTGCCTTTTGCAATTCTCACTTCAAGGCACACCCCCTTCCAGCGAGGACTGTTCTGTAATGACGTGTCCATCAAGTACCCATACAAGGAAGACACCATCCCTTATGCGTTACTGGGGGGAATACTCATTCCATTCAGTGTCATCGTCGTAAGTTACATCCATTCTTCACATTCTCCCTTTTGGTCCGTGGGCTTAATGTTGATGTTATCTGTGAATGACGAGTGCGTAACCCTTAAAGCGATGTGTGTGCTTTCAGCTTTGCCTGAAGCTGTTATTTCCTGTCGGTGGGACCAGAGCAGAGCCACGGTCACCGGAGGAGCTCGCTGCGCCTCTCAGCCAGTGGCTGCTGGAGCTCTGGCTCTCGTTCAGTGATCCTGCGATAGCTGATGCTAGTATCATGTTCCTACTTTAGACATGGGTGGGATGTTAGTTTATAACTTTCTGAATCTGGGTAGACTGTTCTGTACCTACTTTCTAGTTACTGATTCGGGAAAAGAAAATTTGCTAACTCATGTTAAGCCTTCATTTAACCCACGGTTACTTCAAAGGAGTTTCAGGTCACACCAGCGCTCTGGGGGGTGACAGTGACCGAGGCGGGCGAGCCCGGCCTGCTCTGGGGAGGCCTCAGGCCTACAGAGAGGACTGTGTCCCCGGCCCAGAGAGGAGAGGCGAGGACTTGTGCTTCAGAACTTGTAACTGGAGAAGCAAGACTCACCTTAGTCAAACGCAGAAAATGTGGTCCCACCCAGGAGATGGGCCAAGATCATAGCCTCAGGGTTGTCATTTGGGGAATTAATTAAAAATAAAGACACTTCTTCATTCAGAAATGGAATGTCCTGCTCAGGCATGACCACAGTCCTCAGCTCTGCAGGGGAATCGCTCGCGATGACAGTGCATCATCGACACAAGAAAACCTCTGCTCCAGTGTCCCTGAGACCAGGTTCCTCAGGGCGTCCCGGCTGCCACGGTGGGGCCGCCCGGTCCTGGCTCGGGGGTTACGCAGTGACCTCGGAGACTCCTCCGGAGGGCGAGGGTTAGGAACTAGTGGTCCCTTTAACCGAAGGTCCTCCTGCTGGGTTTTACTACTGAAGGGAAGAAAGCTAAGCCTCTGATTCTTCCATTGAGGGTGGAGTGAGCGTAGGGTCTTCTGTGAAGTCTGTGTTCCTGAGAGATCACTGTTTACACGGAGAGCGTAGAGGCCTCTCGGTTGCAGATAGGAGTCCACTTTCCTGGGCTTCGCTCAGTAGCTCAGTAACATGCTCTGCAGGTGCAGCTGCCCAGGTCGCTGCAGAGGACGGACGGCCGCACTGCGGGTCGGGGTGCCGGCCGCCCAGCACCCAGCCCTCCTGTCCCGTCAGTGACACGCAGCTCGGACCGTTTCGCACCCCGTGAGCACGTTGTCTTCACGTGGAAAGTAACAACAGCGAGGAGACCAGGGCCGGTTCTACACCAACCCGCCCGCCGCACGGTGCATGGCGTGCCGCCTGCACACAGACCCCTCAGCAGGGACAGGCGCTGCTCGAGGCAGAGGCTCACGTGCTCGTGTAAAGTAGCTGCAGTTTATTCATTAGCTCAGCTTCTTGCAGGCCCACGTGGTCGGAAGGTAAACCATCTCCTTAAAAAGCCTTTTAGGCCTAGGACTCAGACTCACCCAGGCCTTGAACGCGGATTGCAAACAATCCACAAACACGAGGATGGCGGTAGGAGAGCTCAGTGAGGAGGCGTGGCAGGCTGGCCGGCACCCCCCACGGAGGCAGCGAGGGCTGGCACCCTGTGCCCGCTGAACGACTGCGACTTCTGAGGGAGACTGAGTAGAATGAGGGCCGAGGTGTTCGGAGGTATGGAGGCAGCAGTGGAAACAGGCCAGGGGTCCTGGGTGCTGTTTTGGGAAGGTGGGCCCAAGCGAAGGCGAACGTAGAGACGGCGTAGAGATGGACAGGGTCACGCCGAGCAGGCTCTGATGCTGCCTTAGGTCATCACTAGACTGACCTTCAACAGCGTTCTCTCTGCTCCCCCGTCTCTTTAGTTCTTGGTTTATTCTCTCTGTCTGGTCTGAGTGAGTAATGCGTGACCGTCACCCCAGCTCTGAAATTAGGCCACAGATTAGGTCTCGTGAGTGTGGGCGTCCCCAGAGGTTGAGAATGGACATACGGCTCAAAGGCAGGAGAAGAGAGTAAACGAAACAAAAAGATGGCTGCCACGTGCCGGTCACGCAGACTCACCCTCGTTTACCTGGAAGAGCCGTTCAGCACCTCCCTCTGGCCCGCTGCTCACTGGAGCCGGAGCCCACGATCGGAACGGCGCGGGCTGGCTGCACGGGTCGGCGTCCGAGTCCCGCCTCCTGTCGCAGTCACACTCCAGCGTGTGCTCCTGCGGGTCAGCCTGCACTGAGCCCGGGCTCCAGGCGCGCCCAGCAGCTCCTCTGTCCCCAGGGCGAGAGCCAGGCCCTTCATCCTTCATCCTGACAAGAGGCTCCGGAAGTCCAGCCTCGTTTCGGGAAAGCGGTTGACTGCTCACGCAGCGACAGCTGGGCCGTGAGGTCTCACCCGCCCAAATTGGGGTTGACACACTTGGTACCTGTTCTGAGTGGCCCAGGACCAACTCCACAACCAAACCAGAGAGTCTCCTGCCGCTGGTCTGTCCGGTGCTGGGCCCCCAGCAGCCCGGGAGGTGGAGCAGGTGGCCGGGCAGGCCCGGCAGTGCAGCCACCCCCTGGGGGCCTGTCTCGGGACAGGCGAGGTCTGCACACAAGCACCCCAACCAGGAGCCTCCTGTGGGCTCCACGTGTTTACCCCGAGGCAGCATCTTCAGTTAGTTTATTCAGCGCCCACTGTGAGGTCATGTGTTAGGTCACGTGGTGGCACCGGCTTCCTAGTGAGCTGGACATCCATTCTGCTTTTGTAGGAAGGGCTCACAGCCAGCATCAGAGTTCCAGCTCAGGAGGGACTTTGGGAGCTGGGGGGCCGGGGAAGGAGGAACGTCGGGACCAGGTTCTGAGCTCCTTCCGCGAGGTGGCGGGGCTCGCCCGCGCACCAGGGGTGGCCAGCACTGTAAACTGTTCGTGCAGGCGAACCATCCTTACGTGGGACGAAGCAGTGAGCCAGCAGGTCTGAGGGAAGCTGTGACTCAGCCGCTCCGCAGGACTGGGCAGCAGGCCACTCAGGCCTTTACTTTGGGCTCAGGCAGCTGGTGTGGCTTGTTTTATTAGCAAATGTAGTTTTTATAATGTTGCCATTTGGTGTGTGTGTGTTTTTTTTAAATTTCTCAGAGTATTAGTCTGTGAACTTGTCAAGTATTTGTAGACCTTTTTGTGCCTCTGACCTCATTCCATGGCTGCACGTTGGTCCCCGCTGCACGGGGCCTGGGAGGCGTGGCCTGCAGCTCTGCAGGCGGCAGTGGGAGGAGGCCCTGGGAGGTTTTCCTGGAGAAGGGGCGTCAGGGCGCCCGGCCTCCCGCTCCCGCTCCCTCGGCCTCCTCTGCCCTCTGCGCCACTGGCCTCAGGGATAGGTCCCTGCTTGTATTTTCGATGTTTTACTCCTTAAAATTCTCATCCACCTTTGTTTCTCCCCCTTTTAACGCGATGGCTGTTTTGACGTACGGAGTGTCTGGGAAGAACGAAGATGTAGCCTTCCATAAGGGATGCTCCAGTGGGGGTCGTGTTCTGTGAACAGACTGTTTTTGTCCACATCACTGTCTGCTTATTCAAACTGTTTATTTCCGTACAAGAAGCAAGGTTGTAGGGGGACGGACATTCCTCTGGCTTGGCCATTGACCCGACCCCCTTTCTGTGCTCAGCTGTCCTAAGTGGACTCCGCATGCGTAAAGAAAGGAGCATTGTTTTTAAAATAATTTTATTGTGATTTACCACTTTCTTTTCTATTTTTAATTTTGTTTAAAGTGCCTGTTTGCTGCTCTCACATGTTCTTCTGTTTCTTTTTCAGATGGTCATCGGAGAAGCCCTGTGTGTTTACTGTAACCTCTTGCACTCGAATTCCTTCGTCAGGAATAACTATGTGGCCACCATTTACAAGGCCGTGGGCACGTTCCTGTTTGGCGCGGCTGCCAGCCAGTCCCTGACCGACATCGCCAAGTACTCCATCGGCAGGCTGCGGCCGCACTTCCTGGACGTCTGCGACCCCGATTGGTCAAAGATCAACTGCAGCAGCGACGGTTACATTGAAAACTACGTCTGCCGAGGGAACCCGCAGAAAGTGAAGGAGGGCAGGTGCGTGCCCGTGTGAGGGCCCGCGTGGCGGCGCGGTGCGGCTTGGAGTGGGTGCCGGCGGCCGGCACTGAGTTGAGGGCCGGCTCTGTTCTCCTCACTGCGCCCGTCCCCCCATTTCCCGTCCTCGTCGATTTAAAGCACTTAGTGCAGCTCTCATCTCCAACACGTCATGGTGTGCAGCAGACCTTGTAGGTCCCTGGTAGCCCAGGATGAGCAGCTGCCCCCCCTCCCAGGGAGTAAATGCTTTAGGCTCTGCGGGCCGAACGGTGCGTCTGACACTGTCCAACTCCAGGGCTGTCGCAGAGGAAGCAGCCCTACAGCCTGGGGGAGCCCCGGCTGGACGCCCACTGAGGACACTAACCTGTCGCTGTCTTAAACTTCAGAGCTTGTCTTATAAAAAGCAGTCACTTGTGAACGTTCCAGAGGCGTGTTCCTTGGGGCCGACTGCAGGTGGAGAATAACCCGCAGGCCCTGGGCCGGTTCTGGTGTCAGAGCTGCTGTGGCGAGCCTGGCGGGCTGGCTCCAGGACTCAGCCATCCTGAGTGCCACCACAGCCGCCCCGAGCTGCCCTGCCCTGTCCTGCCTCCCCCTCCTGGTTCTAAAGGGGAAGAGGGTGCCAGGGGCCGGGGAGGACGCCTGGGCCTCCAGGAGAGAATGAACCTCTCTCCTCTCTTCCAGGCTGTCCTTCTACTCGGGCCACTCCTCCTTCTCCATGTACTGCATGCTGTTCCTGGCGGTGAGTACGTGCCTGCGTGACGCAGTCAGGGCTCTCCCTGCAGCCCCCACCCTCCCCTGGTGCGCAGTGAGTGCACGTGGCCTCTCCCGTGGGCCACCTCACGCACTCTTGTCAGCCGACGCCTGTCACCTGCCCCCTGCTGTGCCGTGAGCTCCTTAGAGTGGGTGCCCGTCTGCCACGGCCGTGACGGCTGCTGCCCAGACTGCCCCTCATGCCCAGGTGGACCCCGAGGCTGGCTCTTCTCCACTAGCTCCTGCTCCTGACACGGCTATGCGCCGTCTGGGTGGTTTGATTTGCTTGGAGTTCTTGCTTGGACACCAACTGGTCGGTTTCTCCTACCAGAGACGGGGAATGGACCGGCTTTGCAGCTGCCCCCCTCCCCCTCGCTCCTGTGGCCTTGGTCTGGCTGCCCCTTTTGCAGAGGAGACTGGGGGAGGGGCTGGGTAAAGGTTAGTGGAGGACGTGAGGTGTTTTCCTGTGTGTCTCCGGGAAGCCCACGTCCCTTCCTGTTGGAGGGAGCGGCTCTAGTGGGAGGCTCAGGTGTCCTTTAAATCACGCCTCCTCTCTCAGGTCTAAGCTAGCGCAGACCTTCGGGTCTGGCAGGGAGTGGGGAGCCGCATCCATTCTCGGCTCGTGGTAATCCCTCTGCTTCCCTCTAACCCTCACTGCAAACCCCCTGGGCCTGCGCTGCCCGGGCACCGAGGAGTCGTGGGGACTGTCCTGGTCGAACCCTGCTGTGTGACGAGTGACCGGAAGGCCCGCCCGCCCCTGCTGCCCGCACCGAGGGGTCACTGCCCTCTCCCTTCCAGCTGGGGGGGGGGGGGGACTGTGGAAAGCCAGCAGCACCTAAGCCCACAGCTGAGAGCCCCCCGCCGGGCGTGCATCTTCAGAACCAGGTGCTCCCAGCTGCTGAGAACAGAGCACAGTGTGCCCAACAGCTGGTCGCGGGCCTGTCTGTTCTGAATAAGCACAGCCACACACAGTTTTCTATTGAGTTTTCATGTCCTCACTGGATAGACATTAGACCAAAAACGTGCTTTTAATGAGCCCAGATTAGCCAAGAGGCGCTCACAGGAAACCCAGATGTCTCCGTCAGGGTCCTGAGGCTGCGTTGTCAGGCAGGCGGCCGGGAGGAGCGCGCAGGGCTCGGTGGGGAAGGTCAGAACTGGAAAGGGGGTGCAGAGAACCCTCTGTGGGGCGAGGGCTGGACCACAGCGGCGCTGACTCAGGCAGTGGTTACACTTACCTGTGAGTGAGCCGAGGCAGTGGAGCCCCCGGGTGTCAGTTGCTGAGCATTAAGCAGACTTGCTCTAGACACTCAGCCCGAGACGCGCTGTCAGCAGCGCTGGCCTCCGTGCCTTCGTGTGAGCCTTGGACAGACTGCGGGGCTGAAACCCTAGTCCAAAGGCGCCCTCTGTCCTGGGACACGGGCGAGGCGACCTGCCTGCGGAGGCAGTAAATCCTGAGAAGTTCCTGGGTAGTAGTTTGTTTTGTTCTGCTTAAAAGGGTGAACTTTTAGGACGCTTGCCTGAAGCCTTATTCCACGTGTGATAAAAATATCGGCTATTTAATGACTGATATTTAACGTCTACGGGTCATTTGAGACACACCAGCCCTGTAGAGGCGAGGGGACACCTGAGGTGAAGTCGTTTCAGCTCCTGGTTGACACGCTCTCTCCGTTAGCTCTACCTTCAGGCCAGGATGCGGGCGGACTGGGCGAGGCTCCTGCGGCCCACACTGCAGTTTGGCCTCGTGGCCACGTCCATCTACGTGGGCCTTTCTCGCGTGTCCGACTACAAGCACCACTGGAGCGACGTGCTGACGGGGCTCATCCAGGGGGCGCTGGTCGCAGTGCTGGTGGTGAGTACCTCCTTTAACCCTCAGTAATTGAGTGGAGAGACGCCTGTGAGACCGCGGTGGCAGGGCGCATGCCCGCCGGGGTCCAGGCCAGAGTGCAGGGCTGCCCAGTCACGCCAGGGTGGACACAGATGGACACCGGAGTCCCCGTGTGCTCCTTGTGAAAGGCTCTGACTACAGCCGTGTTCTTGTTGGTAATGAATTGGAAAAAAGCAAATTTACATGAAGAGTAACAATTGCCAGCAGAGTGAGGCTCTTCGCCCCAAACATAAAACGCAGCTCCACGGGGTGACCCCCTTGGACAGACATGCCCGGGAGCATATGGTTGTGCCCTCAGTCCTACCCCGTAACGCGTGTCCTGCTCTCCAGTCAGTTTTGCTCACTGCTTGCTGAGACTTTGCCTGTGGCTTCTAAACTTACTCTGAGTATAACCTGTTCCCTGTAGGTGGTGTATGTATCAGATTTCTTCAAGGAGAGAAATTCTTTTAAGGAAAGAAAGGAGGAGGCTTCTCATACAAACCTGCATGAAACAGCCTCCGGCGAGAATCACTTCCGGAACAATCAGCCCTGAAGGCGCGAGGCCGAGGGGGAAGGATGCTGCCCAGAGAGGAGGGCGGTCCCCGTGTGCACAGCCCGGGAGGGACTCTGCTGCTATTCCCGACGCTCACTTCCCTGTGTGTACATAGTTCCCTAACACGGCGGCTGTCTAATAGCTCCAAGTCCACGAAGAAATGTCAGCCTTTCGACAATGCCTCACCTGTACATTTTTATTAAAAACGCAATGCTTATGTACAATGTCTGCGATGGTGCTTGATTCAAATGACGTGTTCACGTCTGAGGACAACTGTCGTGGGAGGGCGAGCCGAGCGCTGCTCGCACATGTGGTCATCTGCAACCCGACGGGAGGCGGACAGGCCACCCCACGTCCCGTGGCTCCTACAGGTAGAGGCTGGCGGCAAACACAATGTCTCTCTTGATTTTGGTGATGCCTGAGAGAGAGAACACGGCTCAGTTTAGCCTTTGAGGCCATCAAGAATGTCATCCCCCCGTTGTAGAGACAGCACACGACCCTGCTGGTCTGAATGAGACCTGGCGAGTTCACAGCCAGCTGAGAGGGGCCACCTGGAAACCACACCCTGGTCTGATGCCGTGACTTTCCCTGTACCTCAGTGTGTGTGTGTATGTGTGACTCTCCTGTACCCCAGTATGTGTGTGTGTATGTGTGTGTGACTCTCCTGTACCCCAGTATGTGTGTGTACGTGTGTGTGACTCTCCTGTACCCCAGTGTGCTTGTGTGTGTGCGCACGCATGTGGGAGTGGGGTGGGGGGTGTCTAAAAATATCCCAAAAACCTTATTTGGGGAAGGACTAAACTGTCAAAAGAAGTTAGATGACCCAAAAGCATGAATTTTCAACCTGAAGACACTACATTTTCAATGACCGTGTGAAATTCTTTCCGAGGCAGGACCAAGATAAAGTTTACTTTGACCCAGTTCCCATGATTAGACCTAAACCGGAGTGACTAGGTCTCCTCTTGGGCACAAGACGTCAGGCCATGTCTGCAGGTGTCGTGGACACAGGTGGCAGCAGAGGTCGTGGGGTTCTTCTTTGCTCAGCCCCATGTGGGCCAGTGCTCGGACTCTGTGAGCCCACTGACAAGCCTGGCCCCCCTGCCACCCTCTGGCTCTAGTTGTCCTGTCCGGAGCTGGACTCCCCGCTTCCTTCCACCGTCTACTCTACAGACGGGCCTGCAAAGCAACAGCCAACGGCCTGGGAGAACCCCTGTCTGCCCAGCACTCGTGACGGCAAAGCCTGCGGTCACCCTGAGGGAGGCGAGGGCGGGCCACACGCTCATCTCTCCCGCCACCGCCCCCTTGGCTCCAGAACACCGGCCTCTCGCCGGCACGCACGTGCACCAAGCCTGGGTGAAGGGCCGTGTCGTCCAGCGCCCGCCCCCCCGCCCCCCCCCCCCCCCACAACAAAAAAAAAAGGGGGGTTTTGTTTAT